ATTTTGACGTCATCTGTGATCTATTACTGAACAGACGCACGGCAACATGGAATCTATTTGTTAAATAGTTGATTCAACCTTCGGCTTCATCACCATGACTTCATGGCAAACATAAACTATCATCTCATAGAAGTGTCGAACAGAGACACGAGCGGAGGTTTGGGCGAGCGAGAAATGCTGTGGGAACACACGCCATAGGTAAGTGTTTCGACAGATTTTTCGGGTTCTCCGAACGTTCACGAGTGTTTCTAACCTCAAGAGAAACAAGGAGCAAATGTTATGTTTTCCTTTTAGAAAACACGGTGATGAAAAAGAAAGAAAAATTACTGACTCGTTTATTTCAATTATCAAAATGTAAATAATCTCTTCGCTTTTTCCGTAATTACGTCAACAACTTGTGCTGGCTCGGTGCTTCAATAGAGTTATAGAAGTACGGCTTTTACCGCGAATTTTCTTGCAGGGAACTTTTAATAAAAGCTAACAATAGCTCCATTCTTCTTGAGCTCGCAAGCTATACAACGGAAACTGATGGGTTTAAGTTATAAAATGCATGGCAGCGGTGGGATCCGAATCACCCTCGAAGAGGCTAATGCCCACTCGGCCACGCTTCCAGTCTACGTTGACGTTTATGAACTGCCATTTGTTTGCCGATAGATATCTTGTTTAATCACGATAAAGGAAGTAGAAAAGAAAATTTATTCGTGCTGACAAGCAGACAATGTCGTTGTCTAGCCGCAAACTCGTCGAAGCTTTTTGAAAAGGGGAACTAACCTTATTTTTCTTAAACCATCTCAAGCAAAAAGTGAAAATTTAGATCTCGATTCCATCAAATAATAGAATAAGCTTGTCTGGATCGCATAATACTTCCAAGCAGCCATCAAAGCTTATTTCTGTTAATACCTGTTTGATTGAATACTAGACTTTGAATCGTCCAAGTGAACGAATACTTTTGTTCTCAAATTCCACCTGTTTGTTTCCACTTGTGTTTTGTTTTAGTTCATCGACGCTTACAAAAGTCAAGAAGCAGTGACCAGAAACCTTAAAAAAACACAAAAGACATAAATTAGCAAATTAAAGAGAACTGAAAGGAGTTTAAGACAATGTTCAAATGTTTTAAAGAACTCGGGCGTTGAAATAACCAGAACAAACAATAATAGTCCACCAAACTATTTCACCGAAAAGCATAAATAATGAAGATGGCTACAGAGCTCGTAAACACGTATAAGTCATCAAATTTCACTGTAAAAACAGAAATAACATCTTAAAAAGACATTTGGCAGATAAGAAACGGGCACGAAGAGTTTAGCACCCAACTAACAGGTTAGTAACACAAAACACCAAAGCTAGTTGTTGTGAAGGTCGTGGTCTTCTTCAATGGTTGATTGACTTCACGGCTAAGTGTTGTGGTCGCGTTTTCGTAAAAACGTGTTATGCTACAGCAGTGGGAAGTATGGCTTTTTATCATCCGGGTTGTTGCGTTTCAACTGAGAGCCAGAGCCTCGATGTACGATGAATTTAAGGTGAACTGGTGTCGGCAGCGAAAGTGGCGACTGGATTGGCAAAGTCTACAAAAACCATGTCAGAATCTTCATTACAGAAGGAACAATGGAAAACAATATCAAAGGCAAGTTGTTATAAATGGGCAGAAATCAACGCGTTCTTAGCAATGATAAGGGACCTGAATAGATAAGCTGTGTTAACCTAGAGGAAGGAATGCAGAAAATCAAAATGCGATGCCCTCCCCAGATAAACACGACAAGATATTTGAGTTACTCCGAAATTTATTTGGATCAATCGGAACACAATAAAATTTATATCGATCATTGATCACTGTCAGATCCCCTCTCCCGTCTCCTAAATAGTGAATCAAAACATGAATAGTAAGAATTAGAGGCTAACTGGAGTTTTTCTTGTGGTTGATCAGTTGCTTCTTGCTTAGGGTAGGCGTCGAGAACTCAAACCATGTAAAATAGGTAACTATGTGCTTTTGATATTCCAAACTTTTTCATAACAACGAGTCGTTCATTTTCCACTCATGTGACAAACACGTGAGAAAAATAGGTCTGCAACAGGTAACAACTTCCTGAGTCTGCAATACGTAGAAGATGGTAGCTACATAATGGCGAAAGGAAGTTTGCATCTTATTTAACTGATTTGAAGCCGATTTATAAACAGACGTTTAAGTTATAATAAAGTGTATTATCGTTTGTCTCACGATGTAGTCACTTGAGATGTAGATCGCGACGTTTCGACTGCTTACTGCTAGTCTTCTTCAGGCGAT